TAGTGTATCCTGTCACTATATTGTAATTTTAATTTATTGTAATTTTATTAAACATTCTACTAATGTACTGTTTAACTTTTAATATTTTTAACTATTTCCAATTAATTATTATATAACACTGGTGCTAAAGGTAACCATTCCCCCCCAAAGAAAAACAAATTCCACATCAACAACCTCTTTTCCTTTTCTGTCTTCTGCTTTGATATTCCTCCTTAATTTTTCCACCGATCTTTCTGCATTTCTCCCAGGTGAGTTTTTCCCATCCTCTATGGTTGTCCACTCTTGATCGCCAATCCTTGATGACGTCACAACGCCTCAAAGCACATCTTCATGTATATTTGTAACGTATCTTTGGACGACCAAAAGGACGTTTACTATCGTTCAATTCGCCAAACAGTAAGACCTTAACTGGTCTTTCATCTTCCATTCTAGATACATGGCCTAACCAGCGTAAACGATTTCTGACTAACTTGACTTCCATATCCTCCAAACCGGCTCTAGTGAGGACTTCTCTTTTGCTGGGATATTGATCCCATTTGATCTTCGAAATGTTTCTGATATGACGCTGTTGAATTATAAGAATTTTCCAAATTTGATGATGGTCAACGTTTCATTCCTGTACATTGATATAGGCAGGAGGCTTTGATTGTAAACGTTGATTATGGCCTCATATGTGAGATCATGCGAGTTAAGCACTCAAAAGCTTTTCTACGCGAACTTGAATTGTAATAATTTCCTCCGATTGACAAAACTTAAGCTCTGAGAATTGTTGATTTCCAAGTTGATTAGAAATCGCAAAATACCGAGAATTAACGTTCAACTACAACCACCAGTATGATTTCCCGCTCAAAACGCGGGTTTGCGCGGCTTCACATCTTCCTCACGTGAAGCCCTCGTGTAACGCCTGACCGTGTGTACCGAAGTTCAGCACTTGAGTATGCGCAATTCATCATCATCTACTGGTGTTTCCTGGCGCACACGAATGGGATTTCCAAGTTACGCATGCATTAGTGCGAGCCCATTAACTTCTCCCTCCCTCTTCTAATGATGTAATAGCTGAGCTTGTGCCCGCAATTCAGCTGGCCGTGCATGCTGAAAGGAGCACCAAAACACCACATTATCCAGCCTTGATGGGTTACTACTGATTTTCAGAAGAACGGGTCTATGCTGCGCGCGCTCGCGCGCTACGAGCTCCACTATAACACTTATTCAGCGGAACAACACCTGTCAAATTCGCGGCTGTGCTGATATACGAAAGGAGCATTTCACATTTCCTTTTCGTCTATAAAACATACCATCCAAAATACATTCATTTTGGCTCAAAAATTAGATCCTTTACCAAGAGCTATAGATATACACTATAACACTGCGAAGCTAGAGGCTTTACCGAGACTGGAAACAGGAACTGCTTTTTGTTTCGCTTTTGTTTTGTCTTTTTCTTCTTTTTTCTATGCAACAATTGTCAAAATTACCTCGTGCTCGTTATCTATTTTTTTATTGGTAATTGGACTGACATAAACTACGTCACTGCCCGGGAATCTTCGGGAATCAAAATTCGACCGAAATCGCTTAGAGGCATTCTCAGTTCGGATAATGGATAATGCATAAGTAACGAAAAGAAAGAATAGGGGAAAAAAGTAAATAAAATAGCTACAGAAAATGAAAAGATTTCTAATTTGAGGGAAAATGTTATTTCTGACGATTGAGTTTGCGAATAAGGCAGAAAATAAATATTTTGTTGGCACGAGATACGACGAAGCCCGGGCCTTAGGCTTGAACTTCATGGGTTATGATGCAGTGGTATGTAATGGGAATATAGCACGTAATGTCCATCTAGGCTTCATAACCAACCTTGTACCTTTGGCTGATGCCAAATTTATTTAAGTTTGAAAGCTTATTTTGTTTTAACTGTGAAGTTTCGTAGGATGGGCTGCTAACTGCTCTGAGTTTGGGTTCCTACCCAGATTTCCTGCCATATTTTTCCCTAAAGGGGTTTTTTCTGGCAAGTTTTTTCTGGCCTCCGTATAACCGTACCAGTGTCCTTGTGAGTGGTTGCCCATCTCTTCTAATCCCGGCTTTTAAATGTGTAAGGAATTGATTCGATATCAGGATTGTACATGGTGTATCAGTTGCGAATGTATGCATGTATGTATGCCTCGGGCAATACATGCCTCAGGTTGGTTCTCGTCAGGCTTCCCTAAATAAACTTATTCGGTTTACACTACGGTATTATTTGTTGTGTAGTGGAGACTAAATGGAGTCTTTGCTAGCGACTTCTGAGCTACAGAAAACACTATAGGACCATACATGGTTAAAAATAATGGATCCATTAAAAGTTAGGAAGTAGAAATAAACTAGAAGAGACATGCAGCAGCTATTGAATTAAAAAAAAAAAAAAAAATTTTAACGATTAGGAAGGCTGAGGTCAGTTGGTACTTTTCCTCTGCAAAATCGTGGGTAGGCACTGGTCCTAGGGAACTTCTTTCTTTCGGTTAAAACTGGATTTATACGTATATAACATAGATAAATGAAAATAATAATAACATAAATAGAGGCAAAATATTACATCGTGTTTCAAAACAATGAAAAAAAAAACCCAAAATAGAAAAACTGCTCTAAATAAAAAACACAAAAAGAAAAAACAAAGAGAAAATGAGTATAATGAAGCAAAATCATATAAAAGACAGCAAAAAAAAAATGCAGATTTCGCGGGAAGGAGTTACTCGGCCCCCTCTATATTTTGTTGTATGGGATACGGGCTATCAGTTCCTCCTTCATGGAGCAGTCGCTAGCTACGTAACTACTACGGTATTTAAACCGAGTGACGTACTTAAGTTTGGAGCCACTAATAAAAAAGTCAGCATCCGAACCAATACACATGGTTTCGTTTTTGCAGTGTTAATATTTAATCCCATCTTTTTTACAGTGTTGTTGTAAGCTGTTCATAGATTTTGTAGTCCGTCAGCTCTCTCACTGAAAATTGCCATCCATCTCGAAACTACGTATTACAATAGTGTAAATTGTCGCTGTAGTGCGTTTTGAAAGACCGGGTTGGGGGGGGAGGGAGAAGAAGTTTGTCTGACTGAGATTTCGGTGAAGAATAAAGGAAACCAATCATACAAAGAACTGACAAAAGCGATGTCAACAAGGAATACAAAATAAGCATATGTCGCAGTGGCGGACGGCTTCGTTTTTCGGGGCTTGTAAAACAGGACGATTCGGATACCTCTCAAAGAAGTTATGAAGAGTGTGCATTTGGAAAATGTTTCACAAATGGTATCGCGCATTTTTACCCCTGTGGATGCATCTATTATCTATACATTTCTTTTACTTTATGTTCACTTTTCATTTGACGCGGCATTTATAGAACTCCATTTTTTAGATTAATCAACAAAGACTTGTAATATTACCATCGAAAATACATTCATTTTGGCAGAAAAATTGGAATAATATTAATTGTCAAGAGCATACAATTGACAGACATAAACTTCGTCACTGCGCGCTGATCAGCGTGCAAAATTTTAGCGAAAGTGCATGGAAGCATTATCAGTTATAATATGGGGTTTCACAAAACATAAATCATCAATAGTTATTTGCTAAGGAATTTAACTGTATTTACATTTGCGCGGAAATATTGTTTCAATTTATGTATGCTTATAAGAAATGTCCTGTAATTTTCCTTTGATACTTGGACTGTATATTGAAAATAATGGAACCATGAAGGATTTAGGAATAATTAATGAACTGGGAGAGACGTGCTACAGCTATAAAATTGGAAAAAACATAAATACCTGACAATCAGCAAAGCTGGGGTCAGTTTTAATTCAAAAAGTTTACCTTCCCCTCTCCTAAACTCTGGCTACGCATTTGCCCTTAGAGATTTCAAAGACGTTCCGCTAAAATTGTTTAAAAAATGAGCGACAGTGACAGAGCTTTGGGTTATCCTACTTGACCAACTCTGGTAAATAGACGAGAAAGCCATGTTAATGAACTCGTCAAAAGATGCATTAAAGGACGTTGTCCACAATTTTTCTAAAAACCATTTTATTTTAACAGTTCTGTCCACAATCGAATTACGAGGCAAATGAACATGTTACACTTGCCAAAAGTTAGAACTGACTTAGCTAAAAACTCTTTTTATTATAATGGTTCTGTAATTTTTAATAAGCTAAATTTTTAATGTTTTAAGATTTTATTCATTTATACTGTAACTGTATATAGCTCATATTTTAAGATTAACTTAATTTTTCCTTGGGTTTACCTGTGGGGGTAGTATTTTAGCATGATTTTGTAGTTATTATCATTTTAATTTTTATCAGGGCCCCAGTTGATAGCAGTGCTTGAGGAATCCGAATGGGCTACCCTGAATAAATAAAGGTCTTCTTCTTCTTCTATATATTCTTGTAGGTAAAAATTAAGGATTTTTCAGCCATGGCAACCGTGTGAAATATTTCCCTATAGTTAAGTTGGATTGAAAATGAGAATTTTCGAATCCCCTTGTTACTCCTCAGCTTAGATTTGATTTTGATCATGGTGTGGTTTTTAATCCATTCTGCTTACGATTTTCCCCTCGCATCCGGGAGTTTTTGTCATTGAAACGATCTGCTCCTTAGTTTTTCAGACTTTTTTTGAACTTGTGCCTCTAATTTAACATGAATTGTTGGTGGGATAATGGGAAATAATGATCGTGTTTGCTAGTTCGCAGTCTCGGTAAATAAAAAAATTGTCACAAAGAACTTTCATGGGAGAAAAAAAAACCAAACCTGGAAACAACGACATAAGCATGCTAAAAAGAATTCTTTGTCAGATTTATTTGTTAATCTTGCTTAAATATTTTCAAGTAACTGACTTTCTTTATCACCTTTTGTCGTGTGCTTAATTTTAAGAGCACGATGCTGTTTGCAAGGCAAATTAGGTGAAGTCTTTGTTATGCAAAATTGGACCTTTGTCGAGATGATTGATTTTTCCGCTGGTCCATTAATCGTAATATGTCTCCGTCCATATACTTTGGAATCACTATGATACTTCTTTGAAGTAAATATATATGTTCGCGAATTAATTGACAAGAAGTTACAGAAATTGCGCTGAGGATTTGTCAGCTTTTAACTTTGTTCTCGGTGAGGGTCTGGATCCTAACAATATTTGAAGCAACCTTGGTATTCAAGGAACTCCTAAGTATACACTTTAGAAGGATGAAGAATTCGGTCCTCTGTTTGGAGTGAATTCGGATGGGAAACCTAGATAAGGACTGAAGATCCTACCAGTTGTATATTTTTGAAGTTAAGGTGAGTTTTTGTGCCTTTTTTCCATCGTATTTTGACCCCTCGTCCACAATCAACGCTTACACATGCGACAAGAAACAACGCGCTACAAAATTAACAACTTAATAAACAATTTCAAGCGAACAAGACCTTTCTTTTGTATTTTTCCTCGCAAGATACTTGCCGTGCATGTAAAATCTCGTTTGAGATATTGCCCGGTATGAGAAAATCCTTCTGATAGTTGTGTTGAGAGAATCGGGGTCGCAGATATCACAAGTGCTTTGTTTGGTGGTCGAATGTATTTTTTTTTACACTGGTCACTACCTGTTAAGAAATGGATCTCTAGCGCTTTTCTAAGCTTTTCATCCGCTCTCCTTACTCCTATTAAGTAGAGGTGCTAAATACCGTTTAAATCATTAATCGTGGCCAGATTGTTCTTCCAGCTGCTAAATTACACTGATCACAAAACATGTCGTCAACCTTGGCCCATATCCGGATCGTATGTCTTACTGCGCCTTTGATAGGTTTTATATGTCTTTTGAAGGTCAACGGTTGATACGCTTATAAAATGGAGGGTAGTTAACTAATCCATGAAAGAATTGTCTTTGGAAGGATTAATCTAATTTTGCGGCTTTCTAAGCGGAGTTTCATGCCGGACTTTGCTTAGGTAATCAAGAGGTTAAAGTTTTCAGCGAATAGTGTTGCCAATATTAATACTTCAGTTGATCGCTCACCACTGTATTGTATTACGATCAATCTAATGACAACAATTTGTTAGAGTTTATGTCAGGGAAATGCCTGAGGCGATGTCATCTATTCAAAAGTTAAGGATTTGTGTAATGCCTATTAGGCGTATTGACAGGAAGTTTAAGATTGTGTTCTACCACATTTTCAAAACCCTTAAACTTTATGATTTCTGGTTTTTACAGCAAGCTACCAAAGAATCCTAAATGGCAGGCTAGTATTTTGGAATGTAGAATGTGCAACTGTTTTTCACTTGCAACATCAGTACATTCAGCCAAAGAGACAACTTCCTCTGACATTACGTAGCCTCTTAAAAGCCACTGAAGATGAAAACAACAAAATTTACTATAAAATGGATTACAATTCCAAACCCTCAACTAGGGCCAGCAGGTTCCTTGGCCCAACATGCTTCATAGAGTGTACATTGGGAGAGAGGGAACACGAGGCTGCTCTTTTCATGGGCAATAAAATTATCAGAAAGCCTCAAGTTTTAAATTTTGTTGGCACAGCTGGATAAGCCTTGGAACAATGTTCATTGATGAACTTTTTATGTTCTTAGTTACTATGATTTTCAGTTGAGTGACATGTGATAGAAGTTTAGAAAGCATGTTCTGATGTTAAATCATGTTTTTCTTATGGGCAACTGGCTCTGTTTCCAGCAGCAGTGTGTCATGTACCTTCTTTTGGTGGGCTCTTATGTTTGAGGTTGGCAACACACAGCTCTTGAGATTCATTTTCCTTTGGAAACAAGGAAGGTTGCCTTTGACATTAATTTTATTGTCAAACCCTTTAACCAAACATTTCTGTGCCTCACTTGATTGTAGTATCTGTCCACTGTACCTCCTTTCTTGCTCATAATCACGTGAAGCACAAAAAAAATTACATGATATTTTCAGAGACATCTGATTCCTGAAGCAGCTAGAATCTGCTTGATAATTTGGAGAGTGATAAAATTATACTTATCCAAACCAAAAATTTTGTTTTCAGTTCATTAATTAGTGTATAATGTTCAAGAGGACAAACTCAGAGCCTTCACCTGGGTCCCAGAAGGGTCCTCAGACTGACTCCACCCCCAAAGGAAGGTACAAGAGTGTACTACTGACTCCTTCACAGAGTTTGCCATCATCACCCTCAGCTCTCACACCAGGGTTCCTACGTTCATTTGGTTTTGCTAACACCAGATCATCATCACAACCGGGTAAGTTTGGATCAACAAATATTTTTAATCAAATTAGTCAGCATTGCATTATTTTTAATTATTGAATTTTTTAAATTTTATTTGTCAATGTGATATTATTAATCATAGATTGGATTTGAGTAGATCATCAGATTGATTAGTAAGTAGTATTTTCGAGCCAGATTCTGGACATGAAGTGGTCAATTATGACATTAAGTGGTGGTGTTTATCATTTTTTGTAATACCCCTGTTATATGGAGCCTGTATCAAGCTGTCAACCTTAAATAAGCAGTCACCCTGCCATTCCCCATGGATGACCCCTTTATACCAGTTTGATTGTATTAACCTAAAGTGTTGTTTGATTAAAAAATTGATTGATTGTATGGCAGTTTATTTGATCTTGTAATTCATTGTTTTGTTATGTTTTTACATTAATTGCTTGCATTATAATCCTTTGTCACCCTCTTACTTACTGAGGAGAATTTTATTTTGTGTTACAAACAGAAACTCCCAAGTCTCACATGGAAACCACCCCACAGACTCCTAGCACAGTTGATGATGTTGATACTCAGTGAGTAAAACATATTAACAAATTATAATAAATATTAATTACTATTAGAAAGCCCCAGATTTCTAGACAATGATATAAATGACCTATAGTTGGTTGTGTTTCATGTAGGTTGTGAGGTTTAATGCCTTTATTAAATATTAAAATTATCTTCAAGTGAGTTTGTTACATACACTCATATGAATATGGTAAATGTGTTGCTTCAACCTTTGAGCAGGTTACCATAGCAATAATAAAAACAACCAATTAGCTTACTTAAATATTAAAAAAATAAGCATATTGAACAGTTTGAAATAATTTCCAGATCTTTTTGTTTTGTAATTTCCAATCATAAGGGCAGACTAAGATTTACAGACAAACTATACCATTAAAAACTTTAGGATTAAGCAATCCTTGACATTTGCAGTTTTTCTTAGTTGACAGTAAATTTGTAGCTCTTAAAGCTACCTTAATGTGTGTATTTAGAGTAATAATGATGGTACAATTTTTAGCTTGGTAATGAAGTAGAAAGTGTTTTTTTCAAAATTTCTTATTCTTTTTATACATACCACATTTTCAACACTGCTGACTCTAGCAATATGCAGTGCGCATGTCACCTAGGAAACCTTGTAGTGGCCTTACTCATGAGGGGTCTCTGAGGCTCTGTGGTAGAGCATGGGGGGTATGAGGCTTGATTCCTCTTTGGGACTCAGAATTTTTTTTCTTTATCCCATGCTTATGACAAGATGAAAAAAGAAATCTTTCTCTAACCTAAATGTTATTTACCATTTTAGTTTTATTCATTTATAATAGAGACATTTAACCTACTGATTTCTTCTCCACAGCAGCAAATCAGACTCCAGCACATCCCTGTCATCCTTAAATAGTGTTAAAGCTGGGTTGAGCAGTTCACTGCCAATGCAAAAGGGAAGTGTCAATGAAGAAAAACATACTGATCTCTCAGAGTCACAACTTAATTTCCTATCGCACAATTTGTCAGAGATTGCTGATAAAATATCACCTTCAAAGTATGATGAAATGAATGAAATAGACGTAGAATCTTTGGAAATACTGAAAGAAGAGACTTTAAGGCAATCATCCCAAGCAGAATTTCCAAGCAATGAACAAACAAGATATAAAACTCCATATTCAAGACGTAGCAAGGATAATAAATCCTACGTTTCTAAACAAAAGAGTTTTACCCGAAAAAGAACTCAGGGCTATCATAACTCCCATCAAGAAGTGAATAACAATGGAGAAGTATCTTTGGATGCTTCCAATGTTCTCACCCTTGGAAATGCTGCAGAAACATTTAAACATGATAGTGAGAGTGACTCAGGCTATAGCTCATCTATGTCGACTTCAATTAGTTTGAGTGATGAAAGTGAAGCTTCCAAAAGACTTAGCTCGGGAAATGGATCTGCCACAGACATTGATGGTGATGAATTTGCAGTAACTGAAGATGCAGATCGTACAAGGAAAAATTCACTGGATAAAGAAATGAGAAATGAGAGGCCTGCACCCCCTTTGGAACACAGGGACTCTAGTGATCTCCAAGAAAGGCTGGATTCTTTAATTCAGGGTGTGTCAACTGGAATGGATGATTTAACTTTAGATGGAGGACAGTTAACAAAAAGTGATGTTCACTCACATGGGGATAGGTCAAATATCTTGGAGGAACCATCACCAAACTTTATAATAAATTTTACCAAAACTCAAGAAGATGATCAGTCTAAGACAGAATCAAAAGAACATTCGAACACTGTTGTAAAACCACCCTTTCCTTTACTCAAGGGCAAGGTGTCTTCAGATGACTCAGCATTACCAAGAAGTAAAGCCGGTAAAAGACCAGGTTTAGTACGACGCAGGACAACCTTAGTTTCTTTCCGTCCACCAAAACAAATGGCTGCTCAAGAAGGAGAAGGTGACATTGTTGAAATGGATGAAGTGGGTTTCATGCAGTTGTTGACTGATATTAAATCTCTTAAAACTCAGTTGCTTAAACTGAAGCGTGAACTTCAAGAGGTAAGTATTGTTTTGTAAAATATGATGAACAGTGATGGCGTTGAGTGTGACAGTCTTATTGGTAACTATATGAGATATGTGATGTATTGACATATCCAATTCTGTTAGTTAGGTGATATGAAATGTCAGGAGGATTGCTTTTGTCCTAATTGCTGTTTGTTAACCAGTTAGTTAATTACATGATGCAGAGCAGATTTTGAAATTTGGAACTACTGAAAAACAAATCCACCTGAGAGACAGAGAAGGTGGTTATCTAAAGTACTTGACCACACCTCCTCCATGCTGTGGGTAACATGACATATCTTGTTCTTGAAGGCTGATGTCGTTTCTCCACTGATGCATTCGCACTCCTGTATGGCGAGAAGAGCATCTGTATCTGTTGATTCTGATCCAGCAATGGAGAGAGCAACTGCGTCACATAGAAAGGTATTCATCACAGCTTGAGGTTTGAGTGAAGTGTCCAGGGAAAAATGGACGCCGTTTGTACTTATATTGCAGGGGGAAATTCCACTGTGGTCGTTACTGGGCATGGAAGGGTTAAGAAAGCCAAAAGCGCCACCAACTTGTGAGCTTGCTTTCTTGTTTTGATGCCATGTAGCTCAATAAGAGAATTTTGAGATTGCAAAGTCGCATATTGAGGTCATACTGTTTTAGCGCAATTCAAATTCGCATAGTCGACGATGAGAAGTTGTTTTATCAATTTTCATCACCGCGGTTCAAATAATACGACGAAAAGTATGGGAGATGCGGTATCAATAATTTTGCAGGTTCAAAATAACTATCTCTTTCATATACACAGAGGATGTTGAACAGAACCATGACTATGGATCCTTCAGCCATGCAAGAGAGGATACAGACCACCAGAGCACGAGTTTCCTCTATGTCTTCTATGGATGAAAGAGGAGATAGTCCGGACGATGTCACAGAGATTTCACACTTACCAGTACCTAGTAATTCAGAGCAGACTAAGTTAGTGACAGCATCCCCTGTTAACAAGCCAGAAGCTGCGTCAACAGGGGCTAGTGTTGAGGAAGTGAAGAAACTTCACGACGAACTAGGCGAAGTGAAAAACAAACTTCTTGACCTCACTCAGGTTAGAAGAAATTATGTCAAGAAGTTGTTCATATTTTATTAATGTGAACATCCAAGTATGATTGATACTATTGGAAATGGTTGATCGGCTCAATTTAACCCTAACACAATCTATTCAACGATGTTGAATAGATTGTTAATAGGTTAGCATCGCTCGACTCTATTACCCAGTTAGCAAATTACATTGATTTTTGAACTTGGAGTCCTTTCTTGCTCAGCCTAATACAATATACAATCAGACCTGATATACAATTGTCTGTCTTTTCTCTTCTCACAGTGTAATTAAAGAAGTCTCTAGCGTATCATTTTTTGTAGTGTACGGTAGTTTCCTTGTTTCCTTTTGCAAAATTTGTCAATTCTGACAAGATGGTCGAGGGGAGACTACTGTACTTTTAAGCGACGTTGAAAGACCTCAGCAAACGTATCCTTTTTTGCAGGAGAGAACGTCACTTATGATTGAAAGAGAAGAACTCGAACATGAACTCGACAGCAAGAATCACACGATCAGAATGCTTCAAAAACAACTGGTAACTCTACTGATTGCTACTCAGCCTCTGGATATACTTTATTTATGGAAGTGACCTCTTACTCGGCTCACACGATAAACTTTTTAAAATAAATTCAAGAAGAAATTACCTAGCTTTTACGTTTTGAGAAATTGTGTTAATTTTTACAAGTTTCAGTATTGTTCGCCAACCTTCTCAAGCTTTTTTGTTGTGGTTTACTCTTTCTCTACTGGTGTTAAGTGCCCCGTAGATTTTTTCGGTTTTCTTCCAATAAGCGACAGTTTTGGACGACTTAAAAAACAACTCGATAGGCCTTTGCATATTATTTTATCATTTGTCTCATCAGGAAGCCCAAGACAATCGGGACGAGATAGCGTACTTCAAGAGACAAGTCAAGTCACTCACAGATCAGATACAACAACAGCAACAGAAGATCACAGAACTTAGGTATCGGTCGACCAGCCCCGGTCCTGTCCCCTTGGGATCGGTAAGTGTTTTCTTTTAATCCATTCACCCTGCTGTCATTGTAGAAAGGGGAAGGGAGAAGGGGGTAACAGAGGTGAAGACCAGATTTCTAAGATAGAGTAGGGCCCCAACACTAGCATATCAGATTGCTTTGTTATTTTGCGTTTCTTTACCTTCTTTCAAACTCAAGCCAGACAATTATGGTAAAAATAATGGATAGAGAATCCCCAGTTTCTTTTTCCTTTTGCCAATTTGATATAAGCAAATGATAAGTGAACATTATACTAATGTATCATCGCTTAACAGGTTCCAAACCTTCAAAACAAAAAGGAAGCAATAAAATCGGACATCAGGTTAGTTAAAATGAGCTCAGGTTTACAATATTTTTTACTTACCTCGTTAGACTGCTCAGTAGTCTGGGTTAAAAGAGTCGTTTCATTGTTTTTGCTGCTTCATCAGTGGGTCATCACGACGAAAGTAATTTTCGGTTTTCACGGGCCAGGTGACTGTTTTGCTCTACCTTTGGTCTACTAGGCTCAAGTACAAGCTACTGTTCAGGAAATGAGCCCGCGCTCATCTTCCCGAAACTAACTTCTCTGAAGGATCAAAGACCGGTTCCGAGAAAACGGCGAATGTTGCGTGACTCTTCGTGTGTGGCTCGTGATCTTTCTGGAGAGTTCTTAGTGGTTTCCTTGATAATCAAAGCGATTTCAAATCGTTTCAACTAGGTTCCTGGCATTATGAAATGGTTTGTACTTTTTAAGGGGTTCCTGGTATATGAAATGGTTTCTATTGGTTTTAGGGGGTTCCTGGTAATATGAAATGGTTTCCGAAATTACTAATTTTAACTGCAGTCTGACCAAAGTCCCCGGCAAACTGTTGTAAAGCGCCATGAGCAAACATGGATATGGCGCCATAGAAATACATCATTCATTCATATGAAAGGGTTAAAAAGGTTTACATTGATTTATAAGGAATTCGTACCTCGTGCTGAAGGGTTCTCAATGGTCTGATATATTTTTATTTATATATTTATTAGAAACCGTCTAAGGGATGCTTTTGTGAGACATTTGGGAGAATCGTCAAAGGTTGGTAACTAGAATTAAATTGGCTATTTTGATATCAATTGTTTTGATTATTTTTCCTTCTAACGTGTCGTATGGTTACGGTTCCATGTAACCGAACTGAACTGAGATGTCTTTTGTAGATAGTGGATAGATGGTAGGGGAAAATCGTTCTTGCAAAAATTAATTTTGCGTACTGTGATTTTAATAATCGTTATAATACTAATAATAAGGGTAATGATAATCAGTCAGGCTTGGTGTAAGGCTGACTTGTTCCCAGTCGTCTTATCATCAAGGGCGGCTTGGGATTGCAAGGTGTGATAGGAGAAAAGTGCGAGAGCGAAACCACTTCGCTACTGCCCTTTATAAATTCGTTCGCCATCTTGAAATCAGGATTTCTCATAAGTTTGAGCTCTTTCACTTCCCATCCCCCTCCTCTCCCCCGCCGTTTTCTTACACCGCGCACTTTGTGGAGACGACTGGAAACGAGTTGGGAGGAGTGACACTTTTCCGCACTATACTGCAGTAGTTGTCATGACTATTCGCCATCACCAATCATACCATCCCACATTCGTCATTGATCATGTTGTATTGTTGTATTGCGTCCTGTTTTCAGAGTCATGTTCAGCTGAGCAAACACATCCAGAAAGCGGAGCAGAACATCAGCATGGCACAGAAAGGTCTTATCTCGTTATATTCATCACCTGTCCTATCACCTCACGTCAGCACAGAGCATCTGCCGAAAGGTGGTCTTCACTGCACTTTACATCAGTCACTGTACACTTCTCACTTACACGAGTAGCTGTGTTTCACTTGAGGATCATGCAATCTTTTCCATCAATTTTTTTTTTTTTACTTTCATGCGGTGAAGCAACTTCATAAGAGTTGTATCACCTATCACAACGGTGACGAAAACGCCCCTGTACATTGTCATAATTGCCACAGAAGACCATTTTCAGGAGATCACATCTTTGCCTCGCTTGTCATTTCAAAAAGAGTTTGAAGTTGCCTTCATTAAGGTCTTTGGTGTCATACATCCACGCACTTTGTTCATAGCCCTGTGGCGAAAGGCGGTCTTACTACTTTGATTTTAAGCTTGCGTATGTTGATTGATATTTTATGACGTTCAAACTATGATGGCGTTCATTACACAAGCACAAATACGCTTGCGAGACAGTCTTTGCAAATAGCGTCACGCAAAGGTCGTGTCTCAGAGGTTTCTTCTTTTGCGTTAGAGCGCATATTAGGTGCGTATTCATTGTTCGTTTCTCTTTCAGACAAATCGAGACCTTCGTTCGAAAGATCCGACTCACAGTCAAGTGTCGAAAGAGGTCATGAGGACTCGGATGGAAGAGAATACGAATCGGACTCGTCAAAGTCAAGCAGCCGACGAGGAATGACATCTTCGGGAAACGTAGGAAACAACGAAGACTCGGGTTCGGAGGCTGGAAGATTTGGGAGGAGACGCAAAGCATGTCCAAGTCAGGACGAATCCGATGGAAGGGCGTCCGATTCAGATTCGGGAAAGACGAACAGACGACGAATTGCATCGCCACCATTGGAATCAACCTCCGATAAATTGAACAAGACAATTTTAGAATCGAATTCATCCACGCCAGGGATACAGATTGAGGTAACAGACGCTGGTAAAACCAGTAGACAATCCTCTTCGGCTTCACCTCGAACAAGAAAATTATCTCGATCAAAATTATTTAGCAAGATAGAATCCTCACCTCTGTCACACTCATGGACGCCCGGTGCTATCGAGAAGATTGTAAAATCATGGAGAGAAGCAAAATCTCCTGAGGTTCAGGAGAAAACGAAAGAGGAAGACGACTCCCTTAAACCTGAGACCCATGTTCAGTTTTTATGAAAATTACTTGTTAACCCTTTCACTCCCAAGATCTCATCGGTAATTCTCCTTTATGTCTGCCGTACCATTCTTATGATGTTAGTTTGGAGAATTTGGTGGTGGATCGGCAAATAATCCTTAAATTGATACTCTTCCTAACTCTCATCACTTGTCAGCTTGATATTTCGTTGATACTGTAAGGAGAAAGTCTGTCTTGGTCAATCATGGGAGTTAAAGGGTTAAGAAGGATTATACTTTTTTTAAATAAAATGTACATGTTTATTGCCCAGGCAAATTGTGCTGAATTTTCACGAACCTTTTCGGGCTGAGAATAGATTTTTTACATTTTTAGTTTTATCACTTTTTTTAGCCCGCTTTTGCGATTTCGATTTTATTTTGTTTTGCTTTTCCATCAACACGTAAAAATTCATTCATGAGTGTGTTCACAGCTCTGGTTATACTAAGTTCTTCTGTATAACTTCACCAATTTCTGCTTCGATTAACTATAAAAGTATGTATGAAAAGATAAGGGTGCAACTGCACCTTGACTGCCACCGTTCACCCTACGACCAGACTGATCTGGTTATTGAAGTGTACTCAAGTTCATCGATATTTCAGCTTCAGTCAAGATTTTCCATATTTTCATGTTACAATTTTTACTCACAATCTTTTTATGCGCTTTTAGTCGATCATGCTGCTTTCCTGCCGCGATAAATTTCTTTCCTTTTATGTATTATCATTATTTTTTAATGTATCCCTTGTTTCTTAATCAAGTGTGTTTCGGAAAGAGGTGATATTTTTCTCGTTAAGCTCGACTGTCGGCATAAGGTTGTCGTAGGTACATGTGTGTTGTTTAAACGATACCATTTGTAATGTATTCTGTCATCATCACTTTAATGATGATATATGCTGACAACATGCCATGATCGTGAACAAAAACTTTTCCGTGAGAATTAGTTGTAACGTCAAACTGGTTTTACTGGGAATACAATGATTTGTATTGAACTGTCATATGGATCAAAGTCAAATTTGAAGATATTTTAAGAGCAACAGAAAACATTCGAATGCGTTAACTTGATTTAAGTCAGTTATCATGAAATTAAAAGAAAAGGGCCCGCACTATGGATGAAGAATCTACAAGTCACCATAAGTGGGAGGTACAAGTTGTTATATGGTCATCTTCTAGATGAGGTCTTACCATTTATAGCATAGTTTATTATTTGGCAGATTTTTATCAAATGCGCTCGTTAAGGATCGCTTTAGTATAGAGTAATTTCTATTTTTATTCTTGCTATTCGGTTAGAATAGATTAGAAAAATGAAGAAATTGAACTGTCTGCAATTGTTGACGTTTAACTTAAATCCAGTTTAAGCTTTTCCCAGTTTTCTTTTTTCCACGCTCGTTTATCAGATTCATGGTTGTTTTTAATCCTCATTTGATGATTAGATTAGTGAGAATGGCGATGATTTTTAAAGTTAGTCAACGAAGGGTTTTGTGGTGCGAAACAAAACGGCACCGTTTCCACTTTTAGTGTGAGGGGTCGGGAGGGGGCACTCCAGGAACTTTTCAGGTGGTTTGTCGCACTAAATTGTTCTAAACAAGATATCGTTATGGATTGTAATGCATCGTCGTCGTACAGCCTCTCTCCGAAAACCACACACTTCTTGGCAGCACATACTCGTGTTGGGTACATGAGGAAGTGGCACTTCCCTTTAGGGTGGGGACGAGGGGGGTTGAGCACTGATGAGATGGAAGAATGACGTACGCTGTCCTGTCAAGACGACGACAAGTGCGCAAAGAAGATTCTAACTTGTGAGTATGGGTTATACTTCCTTGACTCATAAGACTATTGGTATAAATGTCCTAAGAAACTACTGGCTGAATGGCGTGTTTGTACGCCGTCAGTTAATTACCTCCCTCAGCACATACCTCGTAGCATCTCGTTTCCTCGTCTGATCTTTGATGCCAACTGGTGGGGAGAGAAGGAGAGATAGAAAGAGTAAAGTGTCTCCTTGAGCCATACCACAGTGAGCCTGGTTCCGCGTAGTAACTCGATCTGAAACTTGCAATAAGGCCACCGGTCCTTACAGCGCTCTGTGCTTTTTCTCCCAAAAAAGAAAAGAAAAGACTGCGAAAACAAGGCAAAGGTCGGCGAAAATGGTCAAGTATAAGACACTTCAACAGAGTCGGGAATGTTAGAAAAGATTTTTAGATCAAATACGATCCTGTCCGAGCAGCGAAGCTCAAAAGCCGCATAGAACGATTCCCTACGGTTTTTATACCTTTTCTTCGTCATTGTCAATTTTAATGATCATAAGAGATATTGCAGAATTTTGAAATATTTTTGTTAGCCTATGAATGGGTTAGGAATGATAACATCCCGCCTAAGATTCGATTTACAGACCTGGCGTTGGGTTTAATTTTATCCTTTTTCTTTTCTTTTTTCATATTGCTATCAAAAACTCTTTTCTGATTATGAAACGGGAAAAATATTGAAAATATCTACGTAAGAATGTAAATGTTTCCCGATTTATTTACCCTTTTTGCAGTTTATTAGTACAAAGATGCGTAGGCGAATACTAAACTGCTTTCAATTAATTGCCGTCTTTCTTCAACGGCAGACTATTGTGTCATTTGAAAGGTTTCTGTTATTTAAGTAAATTTTGGTTAAGTCCTACGTACATGGGCTTAAGAACCAATTAAATACGCCACCTAATTTGATGTTGTGATTGGTGAAGTCATTTCGCGTTTGTTACTCATTGTTTACACGCAATAAGTTTTGCGCGAGTTTCCATGACAACTGCTCTTCATCCGGGTACCCTGGGAACATATCAGTAGTGCGGTGGAGCCGACACGCTCCGAAATGTTTCGTCCGAGGTAAAATACCTCCACCGTTTCCAAAATAACTGTTGGATCTGGTCTGTGATCGTCAAAGGAGTATGTTAAATTGATTTTTATGGCCGTGGATGACAGCATTATTTAAGTATGGCTACAAGAAGTAACTTGCAGTCGACAGACTCGAAGACGTGTTTTAAGGTGTCCTTGGTCGCGAAGGATTTTAATTGCTAAATTGCGGTGTGAAAGCTTCGTTGAAAAGGTCCATAGATGGACCTGTTTATTGAGACGTTAACTGGAACAGCCTTTGAGTTACGAGTCAGCCCTTTTGAAACCATCATGAGCGTAAAAGCTAAGATTCAACGTCTTGAAGGTGAGTGAAAACGCAAGTATTATTCTGAGCTTATGAATAATTGTGTGGGAACAACGGCGAACCATCGAGAACAAAACTAGTCTTGTTTATCACGAAGAAATAAAAAGATCGGTAGATTTAAAGTTCATTCTTTTCCTTTCAACGTGTGAAACCCGTCTATCCGATGAACGCGTTTTCGAAGGTTTGCCCTCACATCAGAGACATAAATAATTTAAAATGTGTGGTGTTGCACCATTTGTAAACACTGGCCGAATGGATGGACTAGTGTACGCTTGATTTTGAAATGGAAATCTTTCCAAAAGGTCAGCGATAAACGAAGGATCACGAAGCAACGTGAGTTATTGATAATATTGGACCCGTTTTATATAGAATGTTTGTTCATAACTTTGTCTGAGAAATTAGCTCTTCGATGGGGTTTTGATTTTATATAACTTAAATTCTTGATTTTTTTCCCCCTTGGCATCACTTTCCTAAGTTTGAAATAATTCTTATTAGGAAGGACTTAAACATTTTGTCACGGTCAGAAGATTTCCTCTTTAAACATCTGTGAGCAAGGTTTAACACCTTCAAAGAATACACTTGAATATTTTCACGTTTTTAGGCTTTCGTTAAAACGTGATGTTATCGTTTATGTAATTATTGTACGGATCCGATGTGGTATGTAGAGATCTGCTAGTTTTTTGGATATGTATTTCAAAACTATGCCACTGTTTTGTTTGTTTTTCACATCGCCTATTTAAGATCCTACATACATCGAAGCTTTTTCATTCAATATTATGTCGTGAAAGATTGTCACGCACACGTTCATGTATGTCTACTTGGACTCCGTGTCGCGAATGTTCTGACCAGATATTTGCTCGTTGATAAGGTTTATCTGATCACTGATGTTTTGGATGCCAATAGTCATCAATAGTTGTTTAACAATGTCTTCTGTAGTGTCATGTAACTGAGAACGTGCATATTACTGTTTTTGTTTTAAAACTATGACACTTCACAGCTAGATGAAACTGAAATTTTCAGCCGGATGCAGTTCTGTCATATGTTTATCTTAAGATTAGATTTCCTTTGTGGTCAGTTGCTAAATCAAGCTGTTACAACACCTAACTTGTTAATGGAGTTATCCACTGTACATGTGAAAGCATGGACATGCATGCAGCTGTCTAATTTTACTTGGCTGAATCTTAAACTTACAAATGATTTGTCTCTAAAGGTGAAAATGAAGGCTTTGAAAGCTGAGAGCTAAATAAATTACCTTTGCCAACAATTTTTTCATCATCAGATAGACTCTGTTTGTAAACATTCTTTTCTGTGTTTTTGGCTTTTTCATGGTTCCTAACAAAAGTTTCCATTATCGGATATGAAATTGTAAATTTTAAATATTGTGTCCTGTCCTTGGTTTTTCCCAAAATTGTTCAACTATCATGAATTATGTCTGAAGGGTTACAGTCAAGTTGCCTGAGAGTCATCTCGCCCGAAGTCATGTTGCCGAAACCTGAGTTATGTCACCTGAAAAAAAAAGTTAAGTAGCCTGAAGAAACAAATACTAAAAAGATCTGAATTTCAGACTGTAAATAGGCAATAAAGTTGAGAAATTTTTATCGCTAAAGCGCTCTTTGTATCCAACAACACCATGAAGATTCTTAAAGTGTTCTTCGTTTCTAACAACAAAGGGAAGTGTTCTCCGTTTCTAACAAAAAATGAAGCATTGTTTGTTTGGTATGTACTTGTCTCTTACTCACAGATATTTTGTAAGCTTGAGAAACTTTTTCTTGGTTTCCAACAAAGTTATGAAGACTTTGACTACTCAGAAGTTGACCATATGGTCAGAAAGGCCATATGATCGACTGTAATTGTTGCTCTGTAGGGCTTGTTGCAGTGGTCTAACTTCATCATCACAGTTAATGCAAGGATGAATTCTCATTTTGATCAGCTTCGTATTGTAACTAGCCTTACCCCATTCATATAAACTTTGATTAGATCAAAATATACATGGGACTGCCAGAGCACAACTACGTAATTTATGCCTATTCTGATCCTAAGGGAAATGATGCTATGAGACTACTTCTGTGAAAAAAGTCTCAAGCATAAACAATAGACTGTTATCTTAAAAATATCACACTTACCTTAAGCAACAAGTTAATTTTTAATGTTACGAAGTTCACAGAAAACACAACATAACTATATTTTTGTGTTGCTCACTTTATCTTTTACCAACTTGTCAAACACAACAATCGACAATTGTTTACCAGGTGTTTTCATCTGTTATTGTTAAGAAAGTCACAAATAGACACAACAGAACTTAACTTGTACATTACGCTGCATCTGTGCATTTGTTGTTCTAGAAACGAACAATGCTTCCCTCTGTTGTTAGAAACAAACAACGCTTTTAGAGTCGTTACTCAAATATATATCAATTCTGACCATACAATTGATTTCTGTGTAGTCAAAGTCTTCATGGCATTTTTAGAAACAAGGAAGAGTTTCTCAAGCTTATGAAATGTCCATGAGTAAGAAATGAATACATACCAAACGAACAGTGCTTCATTTTTTTTTGTTAGAAACGGAGAACGCTTCCCTTTGTTGTTAAAAATGAACAATGCTTTTAGAATTGTTTCTCAAACATATATCAATTCCAAGCATACTATCGATTTCTGTGTGGTCAAAGTTCTCACAGTATTGTTAGAAACCAAGAAAAGGTTTCTCAAGCTTACAAAACATCGGTGAGTACGAAACGATTATATACCAAACAAATAACACTGCATTTTGTTGTTGGAAACGAATGTTTCTCTCTTTTGTTAGGAAAGAACAACACTTTAAGAATCTTCGTGGTGTTGTTGGAAACAAAGAGCGCTTTAGTGATAAAAATTTCTCAAGGTTATTGGCTATTTATAGTCTGAAATTCTGATCTTTTTAGTATTTGTTTCTTCAGGTGACTTGACGTTTTTTTTCAGGCAACATTACTAAAATTTCGGGCAACATGACTCAGGTTTCAGGTGACATGACTGCAGGCGGGATGACTCTCGGGTGACTTGACCGGTTACCC